GAGGGCACTGGTCCAAGAAATGCAGTCCCGATACTGGAATCTGAGGGCAAGCAAGTCCCAGAAACCATCTTAAGCAGGTGGTTTGTTAGGATGTCACAATGAGACAGTGATCAGCAATGACTCTTAGAACAATACTGACTTGTTTCTAAACCCAATAAAAAGAAATGGCCAGCAGTTGCTCCAAGTACTCAAAGCCATTAACTCTGTTCAGCAAGGGGGAAGATATTCATTCATTCAGTCTTCATTCAACAAGTATTCCGGGGTCATGTGCAAAGAAGCTCTATGGTTCTGTGCTCCCTAATAATAGGGCTAGTGGGTTCCTTCCCTGGGAGTAGGGTTTGCGAACAGACACCCTAGCTGGGTTCCTCTCATCACTTTGCATGACTGAGCCTCAGCCTTTTCTTTACATTTACCATCAAAAGCCCAGGACAGATCCCTCTAGATTGGTGCTACTGAGTATGTTTATTTAAATATTCATTACATGTTGAAGGCAATATTGACAATTAGCCAGCCAACCTTCCCTGGGAAGTTACAGGGCTTGAAGTCCTGGCAAAGTGTTTGAATGATGCAGGGAGGAGAACTGTGCTGGGACAGGGTCTGTCACAGGCTGGCAGCTTGATGACTCAGGAAGCTCCAGCAAGTGACCAGCCCTCCCTGAGGCGTGAGAGATAGTGGCGCCTCCTTTAGGATCAGGCGGAGCGTGAGATAATGCGAGAACAGGCCTTAGCACAGTGTCCTGCACCTATGGAAGCTTGATAAACTCTAGTTATTATTACCATGTAGCAAACCCTGGGAGGCAAGCCCATTTTTCAGATTCAAAAATTGAGGCTAACAGGAGCACAAACCGACAGCACTGAAAGGCAAAATTGACAAATCCACAGTTATAGTTGGAGACCGCCTCACTCCCCTCCCAACAACTGACAGAGCAGGTAGGGAGAAAATCAATCAGGAGAGGGTTGCCTGAACACCACGCAAATAACAGCAGAGGCATGTTCTTCTCAAGGGCATGTGGAATATTCACCAAGGTAGAACACATCCTGAGTGTAAAACAAAACTTAAATTTAAAAGTCAGAAAGCACAGAAGGTATGTTCTTGAACTACAACAGAACACAACTAGAAATCAGTAACTGAAAGATGTTAAAGAACACACTTACACATAATCCAAAGATCAAAGAGGAAGTTTGAAGGAAAATTTTAAAATATTTTTAACTGAATGTCAATGAAACTATAGCAAGTGCAGTGGGTTACAGGGCTAAGAGGAGAATTCATAGCTTCTATCGGTGAAGAAGAAAAGGCTCAAATCAGTACTATAAACTTTGCCCTTTAGAAATTAGAGGAAAAGGAGTAAAATCAACCCAAAGCAAGCTGCAGGAAAAAAAATACAAGTGCAAAAGTCTATCAAATTGAAAACAGAAAAATAGAAGGGGGAAAAAAATAAACTCAAAGCTCATTCTTTGGGAAAAAGTAAAATAAAATTGACAGACTTCTGCACAGATTGACCAAAGGAAAAAGAGAAGAGCCACAAATTACCAACACCAGGAATACAAGAGGGTCTCCCCACTGCCCTCACCAACATTTTTTTTTTTTATACAAGAGCAGGGGTACAGGCCAGAGATGCGGGGGATGACAGAATCCACCAGAGACAGAGTGGGGAACAGAGCAGGCAGCCCGACGAAACACACTGCTGAGGGGAGCAGCAGGCTAGGCAGGAGAGGTGTGCTCACCATGTGGGTTGCTCTGAGGCCGGCGGGGATCGAACCGGCACTGCAGAGGCTGCGGACAGCTTCACAGTGCTGCACTCAACCGCCTGCACCACCAGGGAGGCCCCCCTCACCAACATTTTGGGGTTAATAAAAGAATACAAAGAACAAGCTTATGGACACACTCCAACGGGATGAAACAGGAAAGACACAAGTTACCAAAATTCATGCAAGACAAGATAGCCCTGTATCTATTAAAAGAATTAAACTCATAGTTAAACACTTTCCAAACAAGAAAGCTCCAGCCAGGCCCTAAAGGTGAATAATAATAAATATTTAAGGGAAAAATATACCACCAATTCCACACAATCTCTTCCAGAATACGTAAGTGGAGGGGCTGCTTCCCAGCTCATATTAAGTGACCAGCAGCATCGGTATACCCAAACCAGATGAGGACACTACAAGAAAAAAAAAACTATACACCAATATTCCTCAAGAACAGAGCTGCCAAAATTCTCAAACAAATAATTGGAAATCGAATCCAGGAATGCAGGGCTGGTCTGACAAGCAAATCACTTAGGTAATTCACCTTATTAACAGACAAGTTGGACAACACCATGTAATCACTCAGTAGAGACAGAAGAAACCGAGGATGGGGAGTTTAAGTGACTGCCCAAGGTGACAGAGGGAGAGGACAGTTCCTATCTTGCTCTCTCATATGGTAATTACACATGGGGGGGGGGGTCTACTCCCAAAATACAAACAATGTAAACCAATATTATTTCAATTAAAGATAAATAAACAAACATAAAAATCAAAATAAATTTAAAAATTATGAATAGGACACATTCTCTCCCTCTGGGAGACACCAGGTTAGCACAAAACCTGCAGCTCAGATGCCCAAGGGGCGGGGAGAAACATGGAAACTCCAACCAGGTGACTGACTTTCAAACCAGAGATTCTGATTAAGGGAGGGAGAACTACTGCCTATGATAAATATAGAATGCTGTATGTTGTTTTGTTTTGCTTGAAGAGAAATCCCTTGACATCAGGAAGCTTATCTGTACCCACAAGGGCAGCAGTGGAAAAACTGAATGTTGGTCTAGTAGGTCATACTGACCCCGAAACACTCACAGGTCTCTCCAACTGCACAGCCCCACCAGGCTCTGGAGGGAAGAAGAGCGAGCAGAAAAGGGCTTCCAACATACTCCCCTAAGCTTCCCCTTCCCATGGTTGATCCTCTCACCTCTAGCCTGTAGGTCTCCACCTTGCTTCAGACACCTGAGGGCAGAGCCCTAACCCTTCAGCTGGGGGGGAGGAGGGGGGTGCTGGGCCCACTGCTCCCTTGCATTCTGCCCTCTGGCTTAAAGGTTTCCCAATATCTAGTTATTGGCAACAACCTTCCACGTGAAGTTCATGTGCTCTTCCATGGAGCACCTACTCTCTAAGCCAGGCCATGGCGACGACAGTCCTACTTTGGCAAGTGCCCTTTGCATCTGTGTCCTGTTGTAGAAAATGTGAATTGCTGGTCCTTCACAGACCACATGGTCCCAGAGACTCTCTAGTGGCCACTGAGTTTAAGATTCTAAGGAATGCACCAGGCACACTATCCTCCTGAGTCCCCTCTTGGGGGCTGGTGATGCTCTACCCTGATCCGGTAACAAGGATGTGGTCCCTTAGTGAAAAGGCAGGACCTGTACTCTGATGACCGACCACTCCATCTGACTGTTTACTTTGAGGAAAAGTTAACTGAAATATTCTTTCTGCAACCCACTCACCCACTTTAACTGTACTGCAATCCCTCTGGGCCAGATATCTCCCTTCTCTTTGTTATTTGAATAAACACTCCCTTGCTCAAGGCCTCAGCCTGCTCTTCCTCCACCCAGAGCAACTGGCCCCCTGGCCTATCATTCAGGTCTCAGATCATAGGTCACCTCTGCAGAGATAGGGAACTCGCTGTAGGGAGTTTAACCCAACCTCCCCACCAACTTCTCTCTTGCTGGCTTTATTTTCTTCAGAGAATGTTCCAGGCTTATCATTTATCTCACCAGAATGAAAGCTCAATGAGAACTGCCCCTGAACTGTCCCCCATAACCAGGATGTCAACAGAGATCAACAGTGTTGATGGATGAAATAAAGGAAAGGACCGGATGGATTAAAGGTTGCTTCAAGTGGAACAAGATCTAGAATGTTCCATTAAGTGTAACTGAGGAAAAAAGTAAATGAAGACTCTAAGAGGAAGTTTTGAGAGAAGAATGAATGCAGGAGAGAAAAATATCATGGAACTGGGAGTCTGGGGAGAAATGCCACTAAAAGGAAAACAGTCTGGCCTACGACTTTGCAGACCCGCAGCAGCCTCAACCAGCAAGGCAGACTCCCACCACCAGAGCCCATCCTATCCACCCCATTCCATTCGTCTGAGTACAGTGCTTTATAGGACTGTTTCTACCCATCTGACCCAGGAAGGAGGCCAGGTTCTGCAGTTTGCTCAGGATTTAAACCGTTCCCTGGTGGGCATGGACCTACCACAAGGGCCCTCACAGCTCCCACACTTGCACGCGCTCCAGCCACCCACACGCTCTCAAACACGCATGCTCAGTCTCCTTCACACTCGCACACGCCCAGCCACACGCTGACTTCCGGACACAGACTCTCAGAGCAACTCTGACCACACAACCTCTGATACTCACAAACACAATCTGGGACTCACACCATCCCAGAGGCTCACACGCCCCGCCCCTGTAGCCTGGTAACGGGATGGCCCCGCCCACCAGGCGTTGGAGGCGGCGCCTGTGAGCCCGGGAGCGCGCTTGCTGCCCCGGTCCCTTCCCTCTACTGGTACCCTGGCAGCCCAGCGCCGGTCAGTACCTTCCTAAAGTCAATATTGCCGAGGCCTCCGCAGCAGTCTGGCCCCGCCACCGAGCTGCTCATTGGTTCTGCTCCTGGGGCCCCAGATCCTCGCAACTGGGGGGCCGCTTCTAGAGGGACCACGCGGGGGGCTCGTGGCAGCTACTAGCCCCCAGCCCGGCCCCATCGCGCTGGGGAAGCGCCACCAGCCGGGGCGCTTTCCCGGTGACCCCAGTTTCTCCTGGCCTTCTGGGAAATGTAGTTTCCCTGCCCGCGGAGCGCCTCTTCCTTGGAGCTCGAGACTGCATCTCGAGGCGTCCAGGACTACAAGTCCCAGAGTAGTATGCGGCAGCGCCTGCCAGTTCCGAGGCGGCCGCGCGGCAGTGCCGCTTTAGTTTAGCCTTCCGACCGGTAGCTTTGGACCCGGGCTCCCGCACCGAACCCTCCACTGACCTGGCGTGACGGTCACGGCTGGCGGTGTGGGGCTAGAGGTCGGCGGCCGCGGGTCGTAGGTATAAGTAGCTTCCCGCGCAGCCCCCTGCGGACTTAGACTTTGGCCTAGGCTCGGGACATCCCCGCCCTCCGCCCCTTTTTGAGATTTGCTTTTGCCCAGAGGCGGTACAGGCCGAAATCAACCTGTAGTCTGCAGCCGAAGCTACTCCTCCAGACTCTGGGCCCCCGCCCCCACAGCTTCTTTGGCTCAGCCGGAGACACCTCCTCCACTCTTTCATTCATTCTCATTCACTCACTATTTGGAGATTTCTTCTGTGTGCTGTTTTGAGCAATAAAAGGTCCCTGCCCTCACTGTTTTCTAACAGAAAAGAGACAAAGTTAAAGGTTTATAACTTGTATAAGTACTAAGAAGGAAAAACTGGGGCTAGGTCAGATGATAACAAAGGATACTGCCTTGGAATGCTCAAGGAAACCCCCTGAAGGTGGCCTAAGCTGGTGAGAAGGTGCCAGACATGCAAAATGTGGGGGTGGGGCAGACTAAGAAATAGAGTGGCGGGCCTCCCTGGTGGCGCAGGGCTTAAAGACAGTGCTATCAAGCTATTGCCAGCCACTATAACATGAGTTTGATCCTCAGCCTGGCCTGGGAGCTGACCCACATGGCACTGCAGACCTCTCCTGCCTCACCCGCTGCTCCCCTCGGCAGTCTATTTCAGCACATCTGCCTGTTCTGCTCCTCACTCTAGTGAATCCTCTCACCCCCAACATCTCTGGCTTACACCCCAGTTCTTGTATGCATAAATAAATAAATCTTAAAAAAAAAAAAAAAAGTGGCATGTGCAAAGGCCAGGAGACTGAGTTAGGGGTACTTCAACAAAGATTGGTGAACTACAGTGTAGTGGTGAAGGGGACAGAGTCGGAGGAAAGAAGGAATTTTAGATGGTTGGGTTCCTGTGGGGAAACAGACTCAGAGTTTCCAAGATTTGCTCCATCACCTGGTGAGCTGTAATTCCTGCTGCTTCCTGATCCAGGTGACCCACTTTTCTCCCCCTCAGACCTCAGCACCTATCAGGCTTGAGCATTTACTGAGCTGCGCCTGCATGCCTACCCCCAGCTGACTGCATTACGGAGAGGCCCAACCAGACAGGAAGGACCAATGAGAGTTTTGCAGCAATGCATTAGCTCTGGGACTGTAGGTAACTTTCAGTTTCCTCAAAAAGGAAAAGGGGGTGGTGGTGGTGGGACATAGATATATTCAGGCAGATGTCACCACACAGGACCCAACCCATGGAAAGTGCTTAATAATCATTGGCCTCCAACGAGGCTGGGCATGCAATAGGTGCCTGTTGTCCAATGACCACTATTACCACTTGGATCAGGAGAACTCCCCTGCTCAGCGTGTTCAGGCAGGGTCTGCTCCACACAAAGCTATTTCTGGGGAAGCCTTCTAGCGAGCAACCCCCTCCCGCCGGTGAAGTAGGTATACTTCACTGAAGCCCCAGTTTTCTACTAATCTACTGGGCACTCTACTTCCCTATCCTGTTGTCTTATTGAACCAAGAAAATGCATTTTTGTGTGTTTGCTTTATCTGGAAACAAAGAAAGGTAAACAACAGAGGTCACAGCAGAAGTGAAGCAAATAGAAGAATCCATTCCTCCACTCTTAATCCACCCCCTGCCCATCTCCCTCTGTGAAAAGAAACCACTTAGCCATATAGAAGCCAGACTGCAGCTTCAACTGTGAACGGGGTTGTTGAGATCGAAAACTTCTGCGGAAGAAATTTGGGGGCAGAAGTCCTTTGCCTGGCCCTATGAAAACTCCCAAATCCGAAAGCTTGCTGGAAAAATCCTACAGGCCAACTTTTCACACTGAAATATTCCCTTTTTTGGCATCCCTGGCAAATGGAAAAGTCATTTCTGCTTACATGCCTTAAATGATGGGAGATTCACTACCCATAAAGATAGCCTGCTCCAGGGCCTCCCTGGTGGCACAAGGGGTTAAGCACCACACTATGAAGCAATTCACAGCCTCTGCAGCACAAGTTCGATCCCCGGCTGGCCAGGGAGCAACCCACATGGCCACGCACACCTCTCCTGTCTCACCCGCTGCTCCCCTCAGCAGTGTGTTTCAGTCAGTCTGCCTGTTCTGTTCCCCACTCTGTCTCTGGTGGATCCTCTCACCGCCACCCCATCTCCCCCCCTACCCCCACTCTGGCCTGGCCCCAGCTCTTGTGTGCATAAATAAATCTTAAAAAAAAAAAAAAAAAAGCCTGCTCCAGTGTTAGACCAGGGGTGTTTATTCATGATACCCACCCAAAGTAACCCTTCCAGAAACTTTAACAGATTGAGCTCCTAGCTACCCTCAGGGTTATCTCTCTTTGCCCTTTGATGGTTCCTCAGATATGGGAAGCCTTTTCTTAATGGAACATCTCCCAGCAGGCTCCAAGGCAAACATCTCCAAATGACCCCTCTGATTTGGAGTTTGAACTTTACTATAGGAGATCAAAGCTAAAAAGTCTTTTCTTCATCTCTCCTTTGCCTTCTTTTTCCTCCCCGCCCCCCTCCCCATATCACTGGACCTGGCTGCCTGGCTCTCAGCAATCTTCAAAAGAGACTTCTATTACTATAATTGACATTTGCTTATTGGGTAACTTAAGTAAAACCTAAACCTTCCCTACTCTGAATTTATTTCCTGTTCATAAAATTGGCTTAATAATATCTCTTGAATGAGGCTATAGTGAGAAGTAGAGGCAATGATGCACACTGAGACTCGACTGCTAAGATTACAATCATGGACATGTTAGGGGGAATTGGATGTCCTAAAGCTAATTCCATACAGGCTTTGTGGACTCCACCCCCACCCCAGGCCAAAGCCAAAGACACTGGGAACTCCAAATCCCCTCACCACCAAAGGGAAGGTGGCTGGGACCTGAGGGTGGGGTTAAGCAGCCAGGTTGGGATAAAAAAAAAGCCAGACACGTGGGCTTTGGGGGGGGAAATCCCCCATTTTGGCTCTCCGCCAGCTCGCAGCATCCGGCCAGCTCTGAGAGTGACTTTGGGTTTCCAGGTCGGCGGATCGGGTAGGACGCATTAAAGACTTTATTTCCCTATTTTCTCCCTGAGTTGTACATTTCCTTAATTCCCTTTCCCTTGTAAATAAACCTTTTATTAACCTTTTGTGTGTGTCTGTAGTGGAGTATTAATAAGTCCCTTTTAAGCACGCGGGTGAGGACCCACAGTCAGGCAACCCGTTCAATATCGGGGCTGCCCTGTAACAGCCACACTAGTGGGGTTTAGGCCCAGCCCAGCACGAGGGTTCAGGATTGTGAGTGACAGCTTAGGGACCTGCCAAGTTCATTTTGGGGGTGGGGGAGAATGGGGTGAGGAGCCTGGATTGGCAGCTGGAGGTTCTCCAGCCTCCCCAGGGGGTAGGGAGCAGCTGATGCTGGGCAGAATGCACTGAAGCGCATGGGCAATTCTTTTAAACTAGGGAAGAGAGAAAAGACCACTGTGGCCTGTGCACCCCTCCTAGATTACAGCCCCCATCTGGCCTGTGGAACCAGAGAGCAGCAGGTTCAGGAGAAGCAGGTTCTGCTGGGGCAGTTTCTCTAGCAGTGCTCCCTTCCACCCTGGCCTTAGGAAAGAGCTCTTTCCCCAGTAACATCTCTTTACTAGGAAAAGGACTCAGCAGTGGGCTGGTGTGAATCCAGTTGTCCAGTCTCAGGTAGCCCCAGAAACACCAGCAAGGACACTAGTGCTAGTGGCCCCCCTGGCCCCCCTGGATGTCCACAGTGCGGACAACCCTACCTTCCTGGTAGCTGCCTTGCTGTTCTGGAACACTCCAGGCACACCTTCACCTCAGGGCCTTTGCAACAGGCTGTGTCCTCTCTGCCTGGAATGCTGTTCCCTCAGATGTCCTCCCAGAAACTGTTAGGGGGAAAGGATGTTCTGAGCTAATCCCATACAGGCTTTGTGGACTCCACCCCCACTCCAGACCAAAGCCATCAAGACATTGGGAAAGACAAATCCCGTCACCACCAAAGGGAAGGTGGCTGGGACCTGAGGGTGGAGTTAAGCAGCCAGGTTGGGTATAAAAACCAAACACGTGGGCCTTGGGCTCTCTCACTCTGTTGCTCGTCTCCTGGCTTCACGGCTCCTGGCTCGCAGCCAGCTCTCAGAGTGCCATTTGGGATTCCTGATCGGTGGGTGGGGACGCATTTAAAACTTTGTCTCCCACTTTTCTCCCTGAGCTGTACATTTCCTCATTTCCCCTTCCCTTGTAAATAAACCTTTTATTAACCTTTCGTGTGTGCCTGCAGAAGAGTATTGATAAGTCCTTTTAAGCGCGCAGGTGAGGACCCACAGTCAGGCACCCCGTTTTGTATCGGGGCTGCTCTATAACAAAACCACCCTCATCTCCTTCAAATCGAGTATCAGCTTGCTACTCTGCCGAACAAGCTGTCCTCTCCCTTACATTCTCCATCTCCTTCCCAACGTTTTTTCCTTCCAGTTCTCAGCACCATCTAACAAATTGTTATGGGGCAACCCCAATATAAAACGGGTTGCCTGGCTGTGGGTCCTCACCCGCGCGCTTAAAAGGGACTTATTAATACTCCACTACAGGCACACACAAAAGGTTAATAAAAGGTTTATTTACAAGGGAAAAGGAAATAAGGAAAATGTACAACTCAGGGAGAAAATAGGGAAATAAAGTCTTTAATGCGTCCTACCCGATCCGCCGACCTGGAAACCCAAAGGCACTCTCAGAGCTGGCCAGATGCTGCGAGCTGGCGGAGAGCCAAAATGGGGGATCCCCCGCCCCCCCAAAGCCCACGTGTCTGGTTTTATCCCAACCTGGCTGCTTAACCCCACCCTCAGGTCCCAGCCACCTTCCCTTTGGTGGTGATGGGATTTGGAGTTCCCAGCATCTTTTGGCTTTGGCCTGGGGTGGGGGTGGAGTCCACAAAGCCTGTATGGGATTAGCTTTAGGACATCCTTTTCCCCCTAACAAAATTATTGCATCTACCTGTTTATCATGTGTAGTGTCAGTCTCCCCCATTGAATGTGGGTCTGGTGAGGGATCCACAAATCTCCCTGGCACCTGATTATACCTGGCACAAAGCAGGCACTCAATAAATGATGAGTGACCAAATAGTGCTGCAACTCCCAAAATGG